CTCCCGGCAGCTCAGCGCAGGGCGCAGAGTACTACACTGTTCATTGCGTGTTGGCGGGAAGGCCTGGGAGAGGCCCCAGGAGTCGCCTCTAACAAGTCCCCGGGGGCCTGGGCACACGCTGTTACTCCCGGCAGCTCAGCGCAGGGCGCAGACGTGTACACTGTTCATTGCGTGTTGGCGGGAAGGCCTGGGAGAGGCCCCAGGAGTCGCCTCTAACAAGTCCCCGGGGGCCTGGGGGCCACACGCTGTGCCTTCCTCGAGGACCTCGGACGTTCTGCCTGGCTCCATTAGAGCGTTTTCTCTGGATTCTGTTGCGGGAGCGGCCGTTGGCGGTGGCCTCGGGGACGGTGGCTCGGCTGCCTGTGGTTGGCGTGGGGTCCGGCCCCCTCTGAGCCCCGTTCCTCTGTGGCCTTCCCGCCTCTGCACGGGGTGAGAGGTAATGCGTGGTGGCCGAGGGCCTGAACGGGACTCGAGCGCGTGTCTGTGGGCAGTTGAAGGTGAAGGAGGGGTGCTGTGACCCTTCCCCAAAGGCCGCTCTGGCCGCTGAGGGAGGGGCTTCCTCTGTGCAGGGACTTCCTGTGGCAGGTGATGCACACGGAGCCTGGGCGGGGAGTGACCTGGGAGCTGGGCCGAGCGCAGAGCGCGTCCCACACCTGGCGGGGGGAGCGCGGCTCCGGGCAGGTGGGACCGTGGGCTTTTCCTGACATTTCACCCCCAAGGGTGGACTCCTGGACTCACAGCGTCTGCCCCGTCCCAGACCTGGACAGGCCTTCGGTTTAGTCTGTTTTGTGTGGAAAGTGAATGAGAACACACAGAGCTTGAAGTAAAAGGACGGAAAACCGTAACCAAGAGGAGCTGGAGGCGTAGGGAGGCTCCGTGCACACAGGGCGCTGTGTGTCCTGTGAAATGAGTTTAGAAATTCCCAACTGCACCCGCCGGCGGGGCTCAGGGATTGAGCGTCGACCTATGAACCAGGTCACGGTTCGATTCCCGGTCAGGGCACCTGCAGGGTTTCGGGCTCGATCCCCAGTGTGGCACGTGCAGGAGGCAGCCGATCCAGGATGCTCTCTCATCACTGATGTTCCTCTCTCTCTCTCTCTCTCTCTCTCTCCCTTTTCCTTCTTCTCTGAAACCAATAAAAATATATTTTTTAAAAAATAAATAGAAATAAGAATTCCTGCCTGGGTGGCTCCCTGTCCGCGTGTGCAGTCCTTCGGGGTTCGGTGCAGCTGCGGGGGCTCCGCGCCCGTCCTCAGCGCAGACTCGCTCCGTCGTGTCCTAACTCCCTCTCCTCCTGCCCCTCCAGCTACCCGCTGCTGAAGCTCCCCCTGCCGGGGACGGGCCCCGTGGAGTTCACCACCCCCGTGAAGGACTACTCGCCCCCGCCCGTGGCCCCGGACCCCACG